TGATAAATATTCCCTAAAATCCAGCCTGGATCTCCCTCATTCCAGGAAGAACACAATGCTAAATATTCCCTAAACTCCAAACTGGATTTCCATTCCCAAATATTCCCAAAAATCCAACCTGGACATTGCTAAATATTCCTGAAAATCCAGCCTGGAGCTCTCTGGACCCCAAATGTGAAGCGTTCCTGAAGCTTTTCCATCTTTTCCCAGGGATCTGAGCAGGATGTGGTGGCTGCTGTTATCCAGGAATTTGGGAAGTTGGAATCTTTCATCAGCCAGGTCCTGGATGAAGCCAGCTTTACCAAGGAGCTCTGGAAATCCTTGGGATACAAATTCACCGTGAGTCCAGAGGGGACTGGGGATGGATGGGGAATTGTGGATGGATGGGGAATTGGGGATGGATGGGGAATTGGGGATGGATGGGGAGTTTGGGATGGATGGGGAATTGGGGATGGATGGGGAATTGGGGATGGATGGGGAATTGGGGATGGATGGGGAATTGGGGATGGATGGGGAATTGGGGATGGATCAGGAGTTTAGGATTGATTGGGAGTTTGATAAGGATCAAAAATTTGGTATGGGTCAGGAATTTGGTATGGATTGGGAATTAGATATGGGCTGGAAATTTGATATGGATTGGGAATTTGGCATAGATGAGGAATTTGGTATGGATTGGGAATTTGATACGAATAAGGAATTTCGTAAGGATCAGGAATTAGAAGTGGGTCAGGAATTATTAGATATGGATCAGGAATTTTATATGGACTGTGAATTTGATATGGATTGGGAATTTGATATGGATTGGGAATTTGAAGTGGATTGGGGATTCAATATGGATGGGGAATTTGATAAAGATGAAGAATTGGATATGGATTGGGAATTAGATATGGGCTGGGAATTTGATAACTATGAGGAATTTGGAGTAGATCGGGAATTTGCTATGGATGAGGAATTCGATAAGGATGAGGAATTTTATATGGGTCAGGAATTTGAGGATGAGGAATTTCGTATGGGTTGGGAATTTGCTATGGATCAGGAATTAGATATGGATTTGATATGGATTAAGGATTTGAGGCTGGAATTCCACAGAGCAAAAT